AAAAAATATTTATTTATATGAATTATATTTATTTATATGAAAAATTATTTAAATTAATTAAGAATATTTATTTATATGAAAAAATCGCCCGAAAAATTTCTTCTTTTCGGGCTGTAGTGCATATGTAGGCGTTTAAAAAAATAACCCAGCGGTGAGAAAAAGTAAAAGAAAGGAAGAAACGACAGAATGGAATGACACAAACAAAATGCAGACAGTAATACTAACAGTACAGAAGTACCAAAGAATAAATAAAGGTTTATTTATTTATTTATTCTTTGGTACTTCTGTACTGTTAGTATTACTTATTTATTTATATGAAAAAATATTTATTTATATGAATTATATTTATTTATATGAAAAATTATTTAAATTAATTAAGAATATTTATTTATATGAAAAAATCGCCCGAAAAATTTCTTCTTTTCGGGCTGTAGTGCATATGTAGGCGTTTAAAAAAATAACCCAGCGGTGAGAAAAAGTAAAAGAAAGGAAGAAACGACAGAATGGAATGACACAAACAAAATGCAGACAGTAATACTAACAGTACAGAAGTACCAAAGAATAAATGGTCCCTTTAGAAGGAAGTCGTGGAGAAGGATTTTCGACGTTTCATTCACCCTTCAATAATGTCAGGGAAACTTGCTTGGGCAAGTTTCTCGACTGTTCTGGGCCTCTTACCAAGGCTGCTAAACCTAAGCCGATCGATACGTATCTACAACACGGTGATTGAAAGGTTTACCTGTATAAACATGGAATCGAGTTCATTTTACAAGCGAACAACAAAGAGACTGGCATTCCCTCATCCTGCAGTACTCCCTGCAAGGCTCATCACATCCCGGTAGGTTCTTTTTTTGAACGATTCGATATTTTCTTGATTTTTCCCCAGAGCTTTAAAATAATGTGGACAACGAAGTAATTCCGAGTTTCGGTATGTGGGAATACCAAAATGTGAGAAGTCACTCAACGAAATTCAAATATGACCAACGTTAGCACGAACTTGAGCGTGAGCTCGTCCCAGAGGGTAACTAACAATAGCAATTAAAGTTTCAGATACACTGGACGTCGTTATTGAAACTATAACAGCGATCATAGACAGAGATGTCACTGTACAATCCTCGTCTTCCCGATTATATGGTGAGGCCCATCAGCGCATTCACTCTCATGCCACACGGTGAGTACTAGTGACCGTCTTGCTATGCACTATGAGACAAATGAATAGCAACACCATTTCTGGAGAAAACCCGGATGACTGGAAATTGGCTTTGCTTTGACAGGCGTCCTAATTCATGACATTTTCTCTTCCTTTCGACAAGTGTGCGCTACTAGTACCGTACTCAGCGAACTGCGCTGATGTTTCTGAATGGCCTTGATACTTTGATTCAAATGAAGGCGTGATTAGTAAGGAACACTTTGAACCTATGATTACCTAGCTAAGTCCACATTTGAAGGATGCACCATACAACCTTCTCAAGAACTAATCCAGTCAACCGAGCCACCGAGAAAGCTTCGAAAGGAATTTTCGACCAAATGGGATGGAGACAGCCAAAGTTACCGTTTGGTTCTCAGCTCACCACAGAGGAATACACCTGAGTACTGGAATTGAGGCATGAGGGGCTCAAATGCTAAGCGTCGTCCTAGTTCAGCTCAGGATGAATCACATACTTTGGCACGTTTTGATTCAAAAGAGTTCTTTTTTTTCAAGTTATGGAACTTTTTCGACTTCTACTGTATTTAATAGATGTAAAGAAGGAAATAGTCACTTCTAGATACCAATTATGCACATCACAATATTTCCAATCATGCAATGCAGAGCATGAGTTCTTCCCATCTTTTCTACAATGAACACCGGCTTTTAGATGGTGGTCCTCCTGTACTCGGTTTGTTTCAGAGTACTTGTATTCTGTCGTGATTATTTACAATGATGACTCCTTAAATGAGTGATAATTATCATAGGACCGTCGAGTATCTTGAACTACCCCTTCCCTCATGAGATGCATGTGGTGAAACAGGAAGGAACCACACAGAAAGCTCAGAACGAAACGAAGGTGTGGCTCAGTATGCTGTCATTTTGGAACGAGTACCCAAATTGTCGAAGTTTTGTATTTAGGGTTTTTACAGCTCAGCTTATAACTCATCGTTTGCAAGCACCGTAGTGGTAAGTAATTGCCTTCGATTAATCAACTTTGTAACTTGACCTTTTAATCTGACATACTTAACGATACCTTTGTAACGAGATATACTGGGTCGTCATTACAGAAGAAAGAAGAAGATGGCATCAACGATTGGAAGGTGCAGTCGAAATTCAGTGTCCCTGCAGTTGTCACGAATGCACTTTCGTTTCCATACGCTGCACCGTACCCGTCTATTCAGAACATTGTGGCTACAGTAGACTTAGGTGTGCCATTTTGCTATCAAGGATTTTTTGATCATTAAAAAGAGCTTGGCTTACCTCGTGCTTATTACCCTTCCTATTGGCTATTAGCAATCCAGCAATTTCATATAAAAAAACCACTTTCCCCAGTGTAGATGATCTCGCACGTTTACCAAATGTTCGATTTCACTAAATAACCTTTCGTTCTTATAAAAAGGTATGTATGCGTAGTGTTCCCCTTGATTTTTTTTAAGAAACTGATAGCTTTGATCGGTATCGATTGCTGGACTACCATTCGCGATTCAGAATTCCAGTTCGCCTACTGTTTTGACTAACTATTCATCCTCTGTATGCTTTGGAAAACCAATTTTTATCCAATCTTTTAAAAAAATTGATCGGTGCCAATCATGGTTGCTGCGCCAAAGTATTACTCTTACTGTTTACGTGAAGTGAAAGTTTTAACGTTACGATCGAAGGTGGTGATATCATAAGATTTGGATGGCATTCACGTATGCTCACTTACACACATCCTCATAGATACGCACACATCCGCATGTACCCATGTACTCACATACATGTACATATACACGTAAACACGTACACAGCGCCTGTATGCACATGCCTCTCGTATAAATATAAACTCGCAAGTGTGATAGATATTTACTTGGCTTGACTCTTCTACTCTGTCTCTTTCTCTCTCTCTTTCCCTTTCAGCTTGAGTCTTGAATATGATCAAAATCTTTGTCATCCATTAAATCCACTGATTCCGATTTTTTAAGGTCAACGCATAGATCTGAAGAAGTTGACGCTCCATTCAAGGAACACTGAGTATAACCCAAAAAGATTCTCAGCGGTTATTATGCGAATTCGTGAACCTCGAACAACGGCCCTCATTTTCTCTTCGGGTAAAATGGTCACAACTGGGGCTAAGTCCGAGTCAGCTAGCAGGTCAGCGATGTTTCCAGTGTATCAAAGAGATCACTTTAATAATTCTCTAACCCAGTTAAACATTGGATAGTGATGTTTTTAGGCAGGCTTCTCGCAAATTTGCCCGTATTGTTCAGAAAGTTGGCTTCAACGTGAAATTCGCAGATTTCAAGGTTAGCTTACAGATCGGCATCTTGCTAATACTTCATGTTTCCGCAAGATAAGAGCTGGTCGCCATAGCTCTGTAATGTATGAACAAGGGATTACATTGAGCCCTGTCTATTCGAGGAAGGTTCATAGAGGACCGACAAAAAACTATAAAAGGGCTGCTTACTTCTTTGGGTAGAAAACTCGACGGCGCTTAAGTTAGATGCTCGCGTAACCGTGTGGGACGGCAGGTAGAGACGGTAAGTATCATCATGAGCTATGTAGTTCGCTCTCCACCCTTTCTTTTTTCGCGCGACTGAGGGGTGGGCCCTTCGTGCAATTGGCTTCATCCGTATGCTTGAAAATTTCACTGTCAGGAAATTGCCCTTGTTACTGAGAAAACTGCTTTCTTTTCAAAACCTATCGCTAAAAGTAATCTTTGTCAGATTCAAAATGTGGTCGGATCATGTGACGTACGCTTTGCAATTCAACTGGAAGGCCTGTGCATAATGCACGCTCAATTCAGCACCTATGAGCCAGAACTGTTTCCCGGCTTGATATATCGTATGGTACACCCGAGGGTGGTGCTACTCATCTTCGTGTCCGGCAAGGTTTGATCCTTCAGTTCCGACTGATTTAGTCAGCAGCTACCGACAGAGAAAACTCTACGAGTATTACAATCTCGATTCAACTGTCTCGGATTCTTCATATTGCAAGGAATTTCGAGCGACTCTATGATACTCTTTTACATAAGGTTACCTTCACTTTTTTGGTTGGGACACCTTTTTGACTTGGCACGTTGTCAAACCGACTCAATGTTCTTCATTAACTGCATATACTACAGTAGCCTCCAAAAGCGTAAGCTATTCAAAAAAATGAACAAAACAACATTATTATTCACATATACTACTCCAAATCCAATAAATTTGTTGTAGGTGGTGATCACAGGAGCTCGGCATCAGGATGACATTGATCAGGCGTTCAATCACATTTATCCGATCCTCAAAAGATTCAGAAAGTAGACATACCTATTGTGCGTAGCCTTGTTGTGACTATTTGATAATACTCCCTCATTACGAGTTCGTTCCATAGCCGGTTATCATAAAGGAGACTCCATTGTTACATTGCAAAACCATACGTCATTCATTCTACTTAAGTTTTATTTCACGACTCAGGAATAAATGCTTTTATGTTGATTTTTCTCAAATTTTACAGAAGTGTACTCGACATAGGACCTTTACAACTGCTTATAACTGTGTAATAACACAATCGGACATACAAAGGGAATTTCAGAGAATATTTTGCTGTAATTCTGTGACAATCAAAATTATTGCTGAATCTTATCGTTCTCTTTATTAATCTCTTCACCAAAATTTACATTTCTGATTGCTAAGATTTCAGTCAAATCACTAGTGCTGTGTGAACCGCTTAAGAAACCCTATACGGGTCTTGAACATACCTTTTAGCACACCAGAATATGCGCAGATTATTCTGTTCCTATTAGATTGGAAGATTTGTCTTGCAACACTTTGGACAAGTTTTTGATTTTTACTTTTTTTTCATTGAACAAAACCCTTAATCATCAATATAATCACCATTATTATCTAGGTCACGTGCCTTTCTTTCAGGCAGCTTCTCGATCCCTCCCTTCTAGAATTCCGGTGGCTGCGACGAAAAAAAGTCGTCGCATTTTTGAGTTCACGACGATCATCGAATTTTTTGTTGCTTAGATGGTGCTTCAGTGTTCTGAATAGGTGACAATCAGAAGTCCGGTGAGTAAGCCGGATGCGGCAGTACTTTCCATCCAAATTCCATAATTTTTCGGTTTTTGCACCAGAAAGCACTATAGGTGGTTTTTCCCTTCCCTCCCTTCGCGCAGCCCAGCGGCGCTCACGTGTGTGTTTCACGTAAAGCATTCAGCTCTCATCTCCGGTCATTACGTCTCGCAATAAGTCCTTTCGATGAGGACGAAGCAGAAGAGACTCAGCCACGTGCATCCTGTTCGTCTTATCAGACAGCCGTAGTTCAGGAACCTGTTCACAAAGCCCTTTTATGTCCATTTTCGAAATCTTTCAGGAACTCTCCGCAGCAATAAGGCACGAAAAGATTTGAAAGGGCCTTGGTTTTTCCCTGAAAGAATATTTCCAGTGTTGCAGGACGTATCTTCCAAACTACTACATATATCAAATCCGCTACTTACTTTTTACTTCAACTCACGTAGGCATTTCCTGAAACGTTCTATTTGCTAGGGCGGTATTCCTGGAGCCTTGCAGTACTTCAGAGTGAGGTATTGTCATTCTGAATCTTCTTAGTGCCTTTATATCAAAGAGTGCAATGTATTTCACAATGGTACTCCGTGAATTTGCGAAATTTCCATGTTCGCTGGAGACGAGTCAACATAGCCAGCCATTGCCACAGCAGGGAAGGCAAAATATAGATAGTACAAAGTCGAATGAAAACGCCCTCGCCATCATTTTTCAGAACCGATAACAGAATTATGAGTCCCCAAGGCCGAGTGCTTCAATATGGATGCATATCTGCACGTTCCACCCGGAGTAGTCATAATATTTACTTCAATTGTTATCAGAAGGAAACATAGTCTTCAGTGTGGTCTTAATAACGTTCACTGGTTCACGTTACCATCGCCTACTTGTGCAGCGATAAGGAATTCCTTAGTACTTGTTACTTTTTGTTCGAGAGCACTTGCAGGATTTCAAAGCCCGGGTTTTTCGGCGTCGTCTCTACCGTTTTGGGATGTGCTCCAGTAATTCTGTCCAGTATCCTATTGGAATTTCGAACGAATATACGACCTTACGAATGAATTATGGTACCCAAATGATGTATATCGTCACAGACGAGTCTCATACCAATTAACTGTCCCGGATCAATGGAGAGCTTAGGTGACCTGGGATTTGACCATATGTTTCATATTTCATCGTTCCGAGGGCAAACCTGGGTGAGAAATCGCATGACCCTTCGAGAAAGATTTGAACGGCTTTCTACCTGGTGCTTCGATTTACTGTTCTCCACTCAGATTGAGGAAAGCCATGATGGGCATGCGTTTTTCCTAGAGAACTCTTTAGAACTTCTAAACTGTAATGGAGGATGAATGACGGGAAATCTTTACAAGGATGAAAAAGCGTGTAAGTGAATTTGCATAGTTCTTGACGAACCCTTGCAGGATTCTGAGATGAAAACCGCCGTAGAAATCCACGACCCATAAAGGGAGCTGCAGTGCCATTTTTTTAAGGAGTACATGAACATCCCTTGAAACTCTCCAACGTTTCGAAGAGGTGTGAGTAGAAGAGAAGCACAAATGAATTATGTTTTCGAATCATTTATATCACTTATTGAGCACAGAAAATTTGGGGGTAAAAAGCAAAAATAGCAACATCGATCGACAATAAAATGAAGTTTTATGGTGTTGATCAATCCCGTTTTGGGATGTGGAGGCGCATGTCGAAACGAGATTCGGCTTGCATCAGAAATCGTAATAGGGGATTGATCGATGGGCTATCCAATGAATTGATGACCATCTCAAGTAGAGGAATGAAGGCTAGTTACCCTAGACTCCTATCTGGACTCCATGATTTGAGCAGTGGAACTTGGGTGCGATTACTCGCAACTCGGCACTACACAAATAGATCCATACATTGGAAAATTAGTGTCTCGAAAGCATGGAACCCTGAAAATCAACAGCACAGTTTACGATAATCTTGGGTATTTAATTTTAAAGGGCTAGTGGAAGTTATTTTCTAGAATAGTGCAAAAGTGGCGAAGAAACCGCAAAAATTGGGGTACCCTGAAGAAATATAACATTTTAAGAAGGATCAAAAATAGGGAAGGAAGAGAACTTGACGACAAAAGTAGCAGTCCGCATTTGGTAGGCGCCGTTGCATTCGGACGGCTATAAGAAGCTGCTTGCGTGCGATTCGCGCGCTCCTGTGCGGATGGTGCACTCTCTACAGCCGTGGGAACTCGTCCACCTCGGGGTGTATACGTCGGCTAAGCCGGTTTTGGGGGTCTTATAAGGCTCTATCTAAGCCATTTTTGACTCACCAGGGTCTGCTGTGCTATATTTGGATGTCATAGGTTTATTCCGGGGAGAAATCTGAAGCAATTTATCGTGAAGTGCGCCTTCGGAAGTCAACTATCATTGAAGTCAACAAGTCTTCTTCTCGAGGACTGTGAGGAGAGGACAATACAGTTCCTCATGAGCGAGAAAGAGGATGAGAAACACCAAGAGTTTCTCAATCGTTGTTACAATCAGAAATTTTCGATACTTTGAAGGAACGAATGTTCAAGCATAGTCGGTGAATGTGGAAGCCTCACCCTATCGTTCTTAACTGATGATTTGTTTCATCAAAACTCCATGTATACTCATAGGCTCATAATGGTACTAAACCACTAACGTGTAGGTCCATTAGACCACTCTGTACCTACCAAGAATGACTTGAAAGAACTCAAAAAGAACTGTCATTTATATCTGCTTGTGATAAATGAGAAGTCGCCTTTTTCTGAGCATTGGACAATCACCGTCGTCGGTGTAGTCTAGCATTGGGTGTTGCTTATTGGAACGACATAGAAGCAGATAAACGTCGAAGAAATCGCCCATTTGATAAGCCCTTTGTTTTTGAGAGGNTTGGATAGAAGGATAAAAGGATAAAGTTTTTGGCGTTAGTCAATCCCCTCTGAGGGATGCGCCTCCGCATTCGACTTTCATTTAGAATCGTAGTGGCGTATTGAGTGCTTATGTGGCCTATACAATGAATTGCGGTGGCCAGCNTTCAACGATATCATTTCAGGATTTCGAGACTTCATGTGCCCTCTTCTGATCTTCTATGCTCTCCTCAATACTGGCTTGGCTCTAAAAATTCTGGTATTTTCTGCACCATTAGGATTTTCTCATATGCAGTTCATGGCAGCGATTGCAGATACACTTTTTGAAGCCGGCCATGACGTGGTACACAGTTTTCTTATCAGTTTTCAGCAAAATGTTCTGGATTTTGAAAAATCGAACCAGTTTCATCACATCATCGTTGCTGAAAAATCGCTTAGCGCAGTTGCTTGAACTGATATTCCGATTTGAGACGTGTTTTTAAGCCCGACCAGCAAGAATGAGAAAAGTGTCATATATCACTTAGCTCGAACAACGTATTCTTCTCTTTGAGAAAGATTTGCTTAGGCTCTATGTTCCTCAAACAGTTATGTAAATAACGTGGGATTTCTTTTTACTTCTTCTCCATTCATAGAGAAGCAGGGTAAAGAAATCGAAAATGAACAATAGCAAACTTGTAAATGTTTGGATAGAAGGATAAAAGGATAAAGTTTTTGGCGTTAGTCAATCCCCTCTGAGGGATGCGCCTCCGCATTCGACTTTCATTTAGAATCGTAGTGGCGTATTGAGTGCTTATGTGGCCTATACAATGAATTGCGGTGGCCAGCCGATGTACAAGTCAATACTTTTATCCTCCCAGACGAGTCTGGTACCAATTCACCGACCCCAGAGGGATAGCAGGCTTGGTTGGCTTAGGCGGGCATCGATGCGGGATTCGACCCCCTGACCGTACGTGTGAGATAGTGCGCCATCTGCTACTACACCACCTCCGTCCTAAATGTTTAGAACAACAATAAAAATTTCAAAGTACTTGAACTCGGGTATTATCTACCACATCTTCAGGAGCTGATAGGATAAAGAACTAACTAGATGATACGCTTTCTATTACAGACTGTTCTACATCCTGTTGCTCATCCAGAAAAGCTACATGCAGTTTCAAAGAAATCTAAACAGGTACGACGCTTTTGGCTGGTGAAAAATGCTCAAAACTCATTTGTTTCTGTTATTACACAAGTAATGATGTCTTTCTTCAGTACTAATTTTCTCCTCATGAGATTCATATTTTCAAATTATTCCGCAGAATCAAAGCTCACGAAATGTGAGGCCTTACACAACTCTGACCCTGACTCAGTCTTTATTTTACGGTGTAAGAAATCAACCAGTGATGAATGATTCAAATAGCCG